CTGTTGAAAATAATCATGATCGAATCAGAAATGTATTTCTTTAAGAGTGGGCGGCATTGGTGGTACTGGGAGATAGGAGGAGAGGAAAAAAAGAGTCATACATTGATAAATTCATATGTTTTATTCAAACACATCGTGTAGTTTCGAACGATCGTATTAAAAAAAGTTGAAATGTATTTAAAAGAAAAAGAAAAAGAAAAAAAAAAAAAAGGAAACGAAATTAAATATTTAAAAATTATGTCTACGAGAGAAGGCAAAAACAAAAAAAGAAAAAATAATAAGAGAATAAAAAAAAATTAACAAATTCTATAACGAACAGAAATTTATAAGCAAAATCATTTTGTCGTAATTACTTTGTGTTAAATAATCAAACTTTTACTGTGATCATTTGGTATATATAAATTTATTAACATCGTTATTAATATTATTATTATTATTAATATTATTATCGTTAATATTATTATATTTTTGACGATGAATAAAATACCTTAAAAAATCTATACCTTCAAGAGGAGGAAGAACATAGTATTATATTTAAGATCTACTATATTTAAGAAACGTAATGAATTATTATTAATCTCTCCTTTTTTCTTCCCTTACTTTCATTCTTGTCAAAATAAATACACAATAAGGAGTATCGATTTTAAATGAATCATCCTATAAATTAATCATAATAAATTGTATATTCCCATTTTATCTTGACAATTTCGTAAACGATTTGCATCTATGCGAAGCACTTTTTTTTCCTTATCCTTTTTTGTCCTTTTTTATCCTTTTTTTTTTTTTTTGTTCTTTTCCTTTTTTCTCTCTATCTCTCGAGCACTAATTAGCTACGAGCAATTTAACTAAGTATAATGAGAGAGAGCAGAAGCGGGTGGATGCATGGCGAGAGATCGGCCTTGATATGCATTCTTTCTCTGGTTTTCGAGTACGTATCATCAACTAGAGTGTGACCTTAGTAGGATTTTTTCTTCCTCTTTTTTTTTTTTATTTTTTATTTTTTTTTTGTTTTGTTTTGTTTTGTTTTGTTTCTTTTCAATTCCCTTTACCCATGTATTACGATGTATTCAATCATCATTATACACAGAAATCGATTATGGTTATTATTTGCGATCGTTAATGTTCATGAGTTCGAGAATAGAGGAAATAAACACTCGTTTTATTGAACTATTGGATTTATAATTAGAACATTTATATTCCATTAGATTCCAATCTAAATTATTATCTAATCATAATTATTAATCTCATGATAATTAATTGTAATTTAAGTCTATAAAAAAAAAAGAAAGAAACAAAAAAAAAAAACAAAAGAGATCGGCTAATAATTAGATTGATATAAAATACAAAGTTCTTAGATTTTTTTTGATCGTTTGATTTATACCATTATTTATTTTTTTCTTTAATTATTAATTTTCTGTTAAATTAAAACAAGAAACTAGACGATTAAATACGAAGAATAATAAGATTTTAAGAGATAAGATTTGGAGAAAGTTTTCTAACACGCTTTTTCTATATTTTATTTGACAAGATGATTAAAAAAGAAAATAAAGAAAAGAAGAGATCGACCAATTAGATTGATATAAAAATAGAAATGTATTACAATTTCATCGTTTTCGATTGTTAATTGTAATAAAAAAATTGATAATTGGATTAATTTAGGAAGTTTTTGTCATATGATTAAGACGAAAAGAAAAAAAAAGAAAGAAAGAAAGAAGGAAGAAAAAAAGGGAAAAAAGAAAAAAAAAATTAAATGATTAAATTAATGTTGAATATCTTATGATTTTATATTAAGAAACGGAAAGTGTTTGTAACGGAGTTTATGTAATTTTACATAACTTTTTTATGTATCGTTTATATGTATATATATACATATACATATACATATATATATATACCAATATATAAGAGATGGTTCTAATTAAATATTCTAATAGCATAGATGAATTTCATCATCGTACTTGTCTTGTCATCTTTCAATAAAGCCTTTATGACCGATTATGATGGAGCTTATTGTGTTCAAAAGGCGCAACGAGGAGAAGCAACAACGTTCGATGTTAAGCATACCGATGAGTTTTCGTGCGAACTGGAGAAAGTCGTTTCTTCGTATATAATGTAAGTATACTTCCGTGTCTCTAGTATCACGATTTTTATTCGATCCTATGAGAGAATAAATTATGCGATAATCATGTTGTGTTTCTTCTTAATACGCGTCTAAAATATCATTAATCTTATTATTACAATTATTCATCAAAGAAAAATTTGGAAAATGATATAAAATGATAACTTAATATACATATACATATGTATATATATGTATGTATGTATATATGTATGTATGTCATAGAAAATATACGATAATTATATTCACGTATTTGTATTGATTATTTATTTAATTATTTTATAGTTTGTGCGTGTCTATGTGTTATGACATTATATATTAAATATAATGAATATAATTATCATGTATTTTCTATTTAAATACATAGGGTAATCGTTTTAAATCATTAAAATAATTTTCCTAGTTGACTAATAACAATTAAGATAAAATTTCTTTTAGAATATAATTTCTTCCTTATAAGAGATATAATTAAGTAAAATTTTCTAAACGATTTAAACGAACATTGTGCGTTTCTTATTATTCTTATAATTTAAAAACAAAATTAAATATACTTAAGAGTCGCGACAGTTTGCTCATTCCATTATCTAAACAATAATCTCTCTCTCTCTCTCTCTCTCTCTCTCTCCCTCTCTATCTCTATCTATCTCTATCTCTTTTTTACTTGTATTCATCTAGTCAGCCATGCGCCTTATTTAAAACAGTAATCACGACTATTATTCATGAGAATAGCGTGTAACTGTATTCTCACGGTGCAGTGACTTCGCTACCGCTATTATGCACCGCATTCGCGAGAGAGTGCTCGAAATAAAGAAGCCGGTAAGCCAATGACGACGTCGAAAAAGACGAAGACAAAGACGAAAAAGACGAAAAAGACAAAAAAGACGAGGACGATACTGCTACGCATTGTAATGTTCTTTAAAACCGCAATAGGAAACGTATAATGATAGTTCGTGCTTTTCACGTTGACTATTCTCTCTCTTTAATTTCGAAATACCCGCGTAAATAGAGATACGTATTTTTTTTTTCTTTTTTTTTTTTTTTTTTTTTTTTTTAAAGAAACTTTTTCTCCTATCAGATAAAAAGCATGAAATATTTATTTATTACTTCTTTGTAATATTTATTTAATTATTATTATTATTATTATTATTATTGTTATCATTATTATTATTATTATTATTATTATTATTATTATTATCATTTCTTTTTATTATTATAGCAAGAGATAAATAAAGAGAAAAGAAACAAACGTTTGCAAGGTCGACCATTTGTTCGTTCGTTCGTTCGTACGTTTATATGCATGTAAGTTTGTATGTATGTATGTATGTTCGTTCGTTCGTTCGTTCGTTCGTTCGTTCGTTCGTTCGTTCTCTTTTGAAAATGGAGAAATAAGATAAAGAAGAAGAGAACATGTAAAAGCATACGTTATGTTCGTGCGTCGGTTAACACCAATGCGTTTGGAACAGCACGGAGAAAGTGGGACGATGAAAGTGCGACCGAACTGTTGCTGAACTGACACTCGAAGAGTTTGTACGTTTATCTGTGTTGGTCCGTCTGTGTTTTACGTATGATACTTCTGTATATTTCGTATTTTTAGCATTCGCATTGTCAACTTAAATTCTTTGCTTTTTCTTTTATCTTTTTTTTTCTCCCTCTCTTTCTCTTTTTTTTTCTTCCTTTTTCTTTCCTTCTTTTTTTCTTTTTTTCTTTCTTTTTTGTTCGAGACAAATTTCACAATTTTTTTGTCGGAATAGCAAATATTTCATCTTTATTAAACAATATGTATATATGTATATATATATTTATTTATTTATTTATTTATTTATTAAATTTATTTATTGTCGAATCGTTTGATTTTTTAAATGTCAATTTCAATTTATTAATTATTTTTCATTGCAATCGGACAATTTATATTCTGTATAATTATTATATATTTATTAGTTATATATTTATATGTTATTTATACGTATTATTATATTATTTATTTATATGATTATTATTTTTATACAAGTCTTTGATTTCCTTTTTTTTTCTCTTTTGGCAGTCCGATTAACTGTATAATTTGTTCGATGAAAGTTAGATTTATGCAAGAAGAATATATTATATTATTTCCTATCATTTTTTCCTTTTCTCTTTTTTCAATGGAAATAACATGTCTAGAAGAAAAATGTATATATCGTTATTAGTTTTCTCGTCGGATAAGTGTTTTTAAGATTTTACTTCTTGCCAACACTTTTCTTATGCCTTTTTTTTTTTTGGTCGTTAACCGTCTAATTTCTTTTTCTCTTTTTTTATTTTTTTTCTTTTTTTTTTTTCAAATTGAAAATGTCACTTGCAAAAGGAGATTATTATTATTATTATTATTTGACAAATTGTATTTGATTTTCTTTATTGTTATTCTTTTTTTTTTATTTTTTCTTTTCTTCCCGTGCAATCTTGTTAATTATTCAATTAGGAAAAAATGATCATTGAAGGTAGTGTATCTAAGAGAAATACGTATCGTCTGTTTGAAAAGATCTAGCCATGAAGGCAGCAGCTGCCACTAATAGCTAGAAAGTCAGTCCATCCGTTCTCGGCTACTTCGATTTATACCACGGATAACCGAGTACAACCGGTTTTCACGAAGCGAGAGCTTCGTTAAATCGAAAATGACAAAATCTTTTGCAAGGCCACGTTAATGGAGGACCAAATAACACATAACTAACAGGAAATAATCGAATTGACGACGGCACGTGTTCCGTTCACATTTTATCGTACGACAACGAAACATATGAGATCGTTTATTAAAAATATATAAACCACGATCGTTCTCCAACATGATATAAAATAATACAACAAGATTTTTCTTCTTCTTTTTTTTTTCTTTTTTTTTTTTTTTTTTTTT